TTCACTCGCGAAAATATTTTCACCGAGGACGCTGGAAGCAGGAAAGATAAGGGCGTTCAGCAGGTGGCGGTCGTGATCACAGACGGCGAATCGCAGGATAACGTGACCGAGGCGGCAGCTGCTCTCCGCCGCGCTGGCGTCACCGTTTACGCTGTAGGAGTCCAAAATGCCAACGAGGCTGAACTGAACCAGATAGCGTCCCACCCCCCCAACAAGCACGTGTTCATAGTGGACACTTTTGACAAGCTGAAAGGTCTGAAGAAGAACCTGCAGAGGACTCTTTGCTATAACATCATTCACCAGGCGGTCTCAGTCAGCACAAGAAGAGCTGGCATCAAAGAAGGTGTGGACCAGCATGCTCTTACACTTTCATGAGTTAACTTGAACATCATGACTTTTTTAACAAATTTAAAGGTGCAAAACTCAGAATGTTTGCTTTTCCTTTCCAGGCTGCGTGCAGACCGATGAAGCCGACATGTTCTTCCTGATCGACCACTCGGGAAGCATTCACCCCACTGACTTCTATGACATGAAGAAGTTCATCATTGAGTTTATTGATACCTTCCGTATCGGGCCTCAGCATGTCCGAATGGGCGTTGCCAAATACGCAGATTCGCCAAACCTGGAATTTGATCTGACCGATTACACAGATGCATCCACGCTGGAGAAAGCTGTGGAGGAAATTAGTCAAGTAGGCGGCGGCACACAGACGGGGCAGGCCCTGGAATTCATGAGTCCACACTTTGAGAGAGCTGTGGTCACTCGTGGTCACAAAGTCCCCACGTTCCTGGTGGTCATCACGGATGGAAAATCTCAGGATAAGGTCAAGGTTCCAGCAGAGCGACTGAGGAATCAGGGTGTCATTGTCTACGCCATTGGGGTGAAAGACGCCGACGAGGCTGAGCTGAAAGAGATTTCCGGTGACACCAAGAGGACTTTCTTTGTCAATAATTTTGATGCCTTAAAGCCGATCAAAGATGAAATCATCACAGATATCTGTTCTCCAGACGGTGAGGGCAAATGAACCACACTCATGTTACAAATGCATGTCTAGAAGTTACAAGCAGCACATACTGCAGGTGCATTTTTTAAATTTTCAGTGTTTAAGTCGTTGTATATCTCACTGGGTTTAAGTGTAATGAAAAGAGCCGTATAAAACTGCCGTATTCAGCCTTAAACCAGTAGTTAAGAGTAGAATGAAACTGAAATAAGCAAAATGAAAGGAGAACAGATTTTACTGATGTCATAAATCGTTGGATATCAGGGAGTTCGTCACCTTAACAGAAATGAGTTTTTACACTGAGAAAGACACTGTTTTAAGTGTTAGCATAAAATACTGAATTAATATGCATGAAATTGTAGTACAAATGCCACCAGAGGAATAAGATAAAAGTGAGCAAATATTAGCCAAAATGTATCTATGCATAGAGACAGATATATAGATATAATATGCTGCACATGGTCATAGAAGGCTGGAGAGGACAAGAGCCATTCAAAACAGGACACCTTTGTTTCTTGAAACAGGGTAATTATTATTTAACATGCAGGCAGCGATGCTAACATGGATGTGCTACTCTGCCTACAGTTTGTAAAGATATACCAGGCGACCTCGTCTTCTTGATTGACAGCTCTGGAAGCATCTATCCCGAAGACTACACAAAAATGAAAGAGTTCATGAAATCGGTCATTGGGAAGTCCATCATTGGGAAGAATGAGGTGCACGTAGGTGTCATGCAGTTCAGCACTGTCCAAAGACCCGAGTTCAGACTCAACGTCCACTACAGCAAAGAAGAAATGTTGAAAGCCATCGATAACATGGAGCAGATGGGTGGAGGCACGTACACGGGCAAAGCCATAAGAGAAGTATCTCAGTATTTTGATGCAGCCAGAGGAGGACGGCCCAGCCTGAGGCAGAGGCTAGTGGTCATAACAGATGGCGAGGCCCAAGATGCAGTTAAACGCCCCGCTGAAGCTCTGAGGGCCAAAGGAGTGGTGGTCTACGCCATTGGAGTGGTGGACGCCAACATCACCCAGCTGCTTGAGATCAGTGGATCCCCAGATAGGATGTA